ATTGAACCATTCTTAAATATTGGATTTATCTCTTTATGTTTGCACAAGCAAATTTGTGCACATTTTGTGCACAAAATGCGAATAAGCGTCGACGCTCCATTCTGAATTTGTAAGTGAAAATTTTGTCAGTATTCTCTTCAACAAAATGGATAGCGTTACACTACATGATGATTGTTACGGCTAGATACTCTACTTGATGAGATGTGAATGTTAAAAGAGATGAACGATTTTACCTTGTTATCCCTTCGTAACGAAAATCTTCCTTTATACAACGGTCAGTAAATCGGCCTGGCATGTTCCAAGCATCTGCTATTTGCAGACTGCTCATGAGCATTTCATCGACAGCCCTTCTCTGAAAAGGGTCTGCATTTTCTCGACCAATTGACATAACAAATCTTCTTTCGTTATTATATTTCGGTATTAAAGCGCCTTAAAGCTTCGCAATGTTCTTCATTTGATTTCACTGAGTTGGCCAGGTAATTATCCAAACACGCGCAGCAGTTATAACCTTAATAATACAAGCAAAACATTCAATTAGAAAAAATCTTGTAGCAAGTATACAGTATACTAAGTTGTGAAAGGAAAAACTACTCTTTTTTTGAAATTCTTGCTTCCCATGCGCTCACAGTATTTTCAATAGGTCTAATACATCTATCCTCATTGTTGAGCAGTAGTTACTGTGAATGTCTGATCTTATAGTCAACGGCGAACGAATGTCCTCAACTTTTCGCTTTGTTTCTATCTTTATTCTTATATTTTAATCCTTTTTCAAGGTATACTGCAGGATTGTTAACTGTGGAAACTTACATGCGAGCATTTTCTCAGCAATGAAGCGCGCTTATCAGCTAATCAGCGCTATCAAGCAGATACTCAATCTGCAATAATGCTATATTGCTAATAGACCGCTAGCGTTGGAGAAGTGGAAACGACGTTAAGGCAAATTTTAGAATTTCACCCATTGCAAGAATGAATAGTGGTGTATAGCTATTAATTCATTATATTTGCAAAGCGAAAAAGGCATAATTTTAACTTTGTAAACACTACTATGAGCTCGATTCGCAGGATTTTGTAGGAAAAAAGTGCAACTCACACCGTTATTCAATTGATTTACGAGTTTGGTGAGATTGACACGATTAATCCAAGACACAGCAGCTCGGGATAGTGAAGCTTGAACAGCACCTTTTGTTATGTATAATGGGATTTCTGCTGCTTCTTTCGAAATTTCCAATCCAGTTCCTGCGAAGAATCCATTGAAGAGGATTAGAGTAAAAATAACTGCAACAAAGAAAACACCTCCGAAAACCCCCAAATGTTCTGCATCCCAGTACATGGATTGGTCATAATGGGTCTTTGGCTCACATTTAGTG